CTTAGAATGACAAAAAAAACATACATTTACTCAAAATACAAAATACAAAATGTATATCGTAGCAGGATAAAAGTCATATTTTAATTCGAATTATTATTATTCGTTCTATTCGAATTATTCGTTTTTTTATTCGTTTATTCGAATAAAACTTTCAATATAATTCGAATACTCAAATTCATAATGAAAAAAAACAAATAATTTGAACCATTAAATGCGAGATATTATAATAACAATAGTAAATAATAATAATAATAATAATAACGTTAGTAGTAGTAATAATAATACCGGCAAGCTTAGTATTAGTACCAACGATTTATTTGATCAAGACATTTGCTAAGCGATTTATTTGGCTAAGCCATTCATTCGTCACATTATTACACTTAATCGCGTGGGGTGCGAATAACAATTCCCTAAATATTAATATAAAGTATTAAATGACGTTTATTATTATAAGAAATTAAATAAGAAATATAAGGGATAAATAAATAAAGATATTAATATAAATAGAAATAAAAAGATTCGATTCGGAATTAGGGTATTTCGACCAACAAATCAGCTTTAAATCCTAATTCCAATAACAACTGCATGCAATTTGAAAGCAAAAATTCGCTTTCATTTTTTTTTTTATAAATACTCTTACAGTAATCCTATATAATTTGAAAATCAAGAAAAACTTGACAAAAATTATCTGAATAAATCAAAATGAAATTCAATATTTCTCTTCTCTTTTTGATTATCTTTGCTGTCATGGCTTTAGCAAGCCCAACTCATAACAATAATTTGGTGAAGAGATGTACTTCATTTATTATTATATTTACTATTACAATAATATCATTATATTTGTATAATTGTTTTTGAAAAATTACTAACTATTGGGTTTCATTTGATTTTAAATAATAAATAGCCGTGTAAGTATTTTTGTACTATTTATTATAGTCAATATCATTATTTTTGAATAAATATTAATTATTGATTTTCATTTTATTTTAAATAATAAATAGTGTAAGTATTCTCATCATTTCACCATTAATATCATTGTTTTTGAAAACATATTAACTGTTGGCTTTCATTTTATTTTAAATAATAAATATAGAACGTAAGTATTCTCATCATTTCACTATTGTTACAGTCAATATCATTGTTTTTCTGAAAATATTAACTATTGGTTTTTGTTTTATCTTAAATAATAAATATAGTGTGTAAGTATTCTCATCATTATTATTACTACAGTTGATATCATTGTTTTTCTGAAAATATTAACTGTTGATTTTCATTTTATCTTAAATAATAAATAGGAAGTAAGTATTCTCATCATTTCACTACTAATATCATTGTTTTTGAAAACATATTAACTGTTGATTTTCGTTTTATCTTAAATAATAAATATAGGCTGTAAGTATTCTCATCATTTCACTATTATTACAGTCAATATCATTGTTTTTGAAAACATATTAACTGTTGATTTTCATTTTATCTTAAATAATAAATATAGGATGTAAGTATTCTCATCATTTCACTATTGTTACAGTCAATATCATTGTTTTTTTGAAAATATTAACTGTTGATTTTCATTTTATCTTAAATGATAAATAGTGTGTAAGTATTCTCATCATTTCACTACTAATATCATTGTTTTTGAAAACATATTAACTGTTGATTTTCATTTTATTTTAAATAATAAATATAGAATGTAAGTATTCTCATCATTTCACGATTGTTACAATCAATATCATTGTTCTTTTGAAAATATTAACTGTTGATTTTCATTTTATTTTATGTAATAAATAGTTTGTAAGTATTCTCATCATTTCACTATTGTTACAGTCAATATCATTGTTTTTGAAAACATATTTATTAACTGTTGATTTTCGTTTTATCTTAAATAATAAATATAGCCCGTAAGTATTCTCATCATTATTGCTACAGTCGATATTATTGTTTTTGAAAACATATTAACTGTTGATTTTTGTTTTATCTTAAATAATAAATATAGGGTGTAAGTATTCTCATCATTTCACTATTAATATCATTGTTTTTGAAAACATATTAACTGTTGATTTTTGTTTTATTTGAAAACATATTAACTGTTGATTTTTGTTTTATTTTAAATAATAAATAGTGTGTGGGTATTTTTATCATTTCACTATTATCACAGTCAATATCATTGTTTATTAACTGTTTATTTTTGTTTTATTTTAAATAATAAATATAGTATGTAAGTATTCTCATCATTTCACTATTGTTACAGTTGATATCATTGTTTTTGAAAACATATTTATTAACTGTTGATTTTCATTTTATCTTAAATAATAAATATAGCCGGTAAGTATTCTCATCATTTCACTATTGTTACAGTCAATATCATTATTTTTGAAAACATATTAACTGTTGATTTTTGTTTTACCTTAAATAATAAATATAGGGTGTAAGTATTCTCATCATTTCACTATTGTTACAGTCAATACCATTATTTTTGAAAACATATTAACTGTTGATTTTTGTTTTATCTTAAATGATAAATAGTGTGTGAGTGTTTTTATCATTTCACTACTAATATCATTGTTTTTGAAAACATATTTATTAACTGTTGATTTTCATTTTATTTTAAATAATAAATATAGGATGTAAGTATTCTCATCATTATTATTACTACAGTCAATATCATAGTTTTTGAAAACATATTAACTGTTTATTTTTGTTTTATTTTAAATAATAAATATAGGAAGTAAGTATTTTCAACATTTCACTATTATTACAGTCAATATTGTTGTTTTTTGAAAATATTAACTGTTGATTTTCATTTTATTTTAAATAATAAATATAGTTGGTAAGTACCCCCATCATTATTATTACTACAGTCAATATCATTGTTTTTGAAAACATATTAACTATTGATTTTTGTTTTATCTTAAATGATAAATAGTGTGTGAGTGTTTTTGTCATTTCACTACTAATATCATTGTTTTTGAAAACATACTAACTGTTGATTTTCATTTTATATTAAATAATAAATATAGCCTGTAAGTATTCTCATCATTTCACTATTGTTACAGTCAATATCATTGTTTTTGAAAACATATTAACTGTTGATTTTCGTTTTATCTTAAATAATAAATATAGCAAGTAAGTATTATTTATTATTACAGTCAATATCATTGTTTTTGAAAACATATTTATTAACTTTGATTTTTGTTTTATTTTAAATAATAAATATAGGCTGTAAGTATTCTCATCATTTTACTATTGTTACAGTCAATATCATTGTTTTTTTGAAAATATCAACTGTTGATTTTTGGTTTATCTTATATAATAAATATAGTCTGTAAGTATTCTCATCATTTCACTATTGTTACAGTCAATATCATTGTTTTTGAAAACATATTTATTAACTGTTGATTTTCGTTTTATCTTGAATATAAATAGCTGGTAAGTATTCTCATCATTTCACTATTGTTACAGTCAATGTCATTGTTTTTCTGAAAATATTAACTGTTGATTTTTCATTTTATTTTAAATAATAAATATAGAAAGTAAGTATTCTCATCATTTCACTATTATTACAGTCAATGTCATTGCTTTTGAAAACATACTAACTGTTGACTTCGTTTTATTTTAAATAATGAATAGTTTGTAAGTATTTTCATCATTTCACTATTATTGCAGTCAATATCATTGTTTTTGAAAAATATTAACTGTTGAATTTTCATTTTATTTTAAATAATAAATAGCTGGTAAGTATTCTCATCGTTTCACTATTATTACACTCAATATCATTGTTTTTGAAAACATATTAACTGTTGATTTTTATTTTTATCTTAAATAATAAATATAGGCTGTAAGTATTTTCATCATTATTATTACTACAGTCAATATCATTGTTTTTGAAAACATATTAACTATTGATTTTCATTTCATCATAAATAATAAATATAGGAAGTAAGTATTTTCATCATCATTATTACTACAGTCAATATCATTGTTTTTGAAAACATACTTACTGTTGATTTTTCATTTTATTTTAAATAATAAATAGCTGGTAAGTATTCTCATCATTATTATTACTACAGTCAATATCATTGTTTTTGAAAACATATTAACTGTTGATTTTTCATTTTATTTTATGTAATAAATAGGCAAGTATTTTCATCATTATTATTACTACAGTCAATATTATTCTTGAAAAATATTAACTGTTGATTTTCGTTTTTATTTTAAATAGTAAATAGGCAAGTATTTTCATCATTATTATTACAGCCAATATTATTCTTGAAGATATTAACTGTTTGATTTTCAATTTATTTTAAATAATATATAGGCAAGTATTCTCATCATTTACCATTATTACATTCAATTGTTTGAAAAAATATTAACTGTTGATCAATTTTCATTCTAATTTAAATAGAAAATAGAGTAAATAGGCTGTATTTGCTCTTTGGCTCTTCGATAACTTCATTTACCTCTTTAACTTCTTTTACTTTCATCATATATTTATCTTTATTTTTTATTGTTAGTTATAATTTTTACATTGCTTAAGATTCATACAAACTATAATATTTATATTATAACATAAGAAGCAAAAATAAATAAAATAGTTCATACACAATAAGTGTTTATTATAATTTGAAAAGATTTATATGTGTCAATTTAAATGGGAATGAAAATGAATAAAGTTACATCAATAATACGAATTGAATACCTTTTATAGATAAAATATTAATATCTAAGGATAATATATATGTTTAGAAAAACTTAAGGCGAACCTTAAAAAATAGTCTTAAAATGCGTTAATATAATATTAATGTTGCGCTTCGTAACATCCCGTTGTTATTAATTTCATTTAATTCGTGATCCATCAGTAGTCGTGTGACATTTCCCTGAGGCTTGCTTTTCTATATTAATATTATTAACCCTTTTTGTGAAAATTCGAAATCACTAGCCACCTTGTTATTATTATTATTTTAAAACTTTACATAATTGCTAGCTCCAATATTAATGTTGCTTCAGAATGGGCCTAATATATTTATCATTTCCAACATAAATTCCCATTCATCTTCAAGAAGTATTTTATTAAGGCGGTTATAATTTGTGGTTATTTTGGATAAAATATCTAATGCTACATATATCAATATAGCATCTTTAACAAATAAGTCCACTTCCAAGCCAAAAAAGAACTATTCCATCTCATTGCTACAGCCAATAGCGTGTAAATATTTTATAGCTACCTATATAATATTATGATGCAATAGAGGTTAATATGGAAAAGAATATATACTCTTGCCCAAAATACACACCACAAGAGATTTCCAATAACCAATTGTAAAGTATGTCGGTTCTATTGACATTATACACATGCTAATTTAAATACAAGTAATTATTGTTAATAACAAATAAATTATAAGTTCTAAAACAGAGGAAGTTAACTAAGTCATTGAATAATAATGGTGAACTTTAAATTTTTCAATCATATTAGGCCATTGTCTGTAGTAATACATATAACCTTGCTATCAATTTTCCAACTAGTACTTCCATCATTAAGTGTTGTGCAACTGAAGGAGATGTATCGAGAGATGTGAAATACATTAAAGTTAACAAGATCAAATCATTCATCTACATGAGAACATGCAACCTCAAAATAACCAAGTCTACTTCTAGAAGTTTATAAATCACATGTTAAACCCACATATTCAACTGTAACTATATAGCTTGTGACAAATAAACATTTAAATTACTACTCTTGCTAACTACACTGTGATTCCTGTCATTGTTCTAATTATCATGAATACCAATAATTTTTTTTTGTCTCAATATTAATAATGTTTTAATGGAAAAAATTTTTCTCTTGTCCAAAACTTTGATTTAGCTCATCAAATGTATTTTCTAGCAATATCCATCAATTGATATCTGGATAAATCATTGATATTCAAATATTTTGCAATTAATCAATGAGTATAGCAAAAAAGTTAATTTGAACTCGACTATAAGCATAAAATAATCAAAAAGCTACCTCACACTATACAAAATGAACAGGTCACAGCTTCATCTGAATCCAACTCACAAACTTATGTGATGAATTTGTTCATAATGACGAATTAAGATATCTATAAATGTGTAATTCATTTTCTTAAATATTTCATTAAAAAATGTTATATTTCTAATTTTTGCCATGTTAATTTCTAATTTGCATCTCATAACTTTAATTATCTTCCCTTCCATCTAATCTATGAGAAAAGTAATGTTTTGGAAAGCAAATTTTAGCGAAAAACTGAAAAACATTTCATGTGAAAACAGAAACCTCAATAAAAAGTCATCCAATACCAAACCCTCAAGTACACCCACAACTAATTCCATATTGCATGCTATATTGATTCTATAACTTACTGTCAAAGCACTGATTACATTCTGTCTTCTTCCTGTCTCATATAAAGATGTATACAAATATGAAAAAATTGTTTCTTCTTTACAAATTTTTTAGCAGAATATGGCTTTACCAAATTGCCACATACAAATTCGACACCACATAGAAAAAGAAAATTCCATGATTACTTTAAAGTTCAGTGGCTCTTTATAATTCTGGCAACAGGTAAATGACTTTGTGCAAGCAGTGCATTTAGTGCATGTTAAATATTATTAATATAAATAATAATTTATATTATATATATTGCAAATGGTGCAATTGGTGGTACTTTTGGTACCATGGTTTCTGCTATATAGTGAATTGACTCTTTTTTGGTTGTAACACAAGGTTTTCTTTTTATTCTTCGTTTTCGTTTCATGAGATTCAGTTCTGAATAACTTTTCCAACTGCTTCAAATTACCAAAATATAAGCACAAGTCATTGCAAAGAGAAGGACCTCTAATTACCCTGACTAACTAAAGATACTATATAGCTGCAATTACTTTGTCAGGTCGCAAATCTTTCTTCTTGTATTCTAATTCATGTTAAGCATTGCGCACTAATTGTTTTGATATATTATTTTTTCAAA